TTTGCTCCTGAAAGCGTCTTTGGAATAGAAGGACAGGGATTCTCCAAAATCATTTCTAGAGGACATTGTGTTGGGTACTTTTTTTTCTGTCTTCCTTTCATCCATTGGACAGAGATGTGTCGATGCTTATTTTCTTCATGGCAGAGCAGCTCCTACTATATTCCAGGTTACTTGACAACTTGCTAGGCCTGTCGTGAAACACGTCCCGCTTCAGTCGGACATTGGCTCTGTGGCCCAGTGTGTTTGTTTCCTGGTGCAGCTTTGGCCCTTACCTTCAGGTAGTGGGCTCAGGGGAGAAAGATGAAGCTGCATTGGCTCCTGTAAAGATTTAAGGACTCAGAAACCTTTATAGCATTTCCATGAGTCATAATGAGCTGGGCAGTGGGCGGTAGTGCTTAGTGACTTAAGGGAGTAGCTTGCTGAGTGGTTCAAAGGGTTAATTTGCTTGGCTGCTAACTGAAGAGCTAGACATTCAAGTCTACTCAGAAGTGCCTTGGAAGAAAGGCCTGGTGATGTACTTCTGAAAAATCAGCCACTGAAAACCTGATGGCCCCCAGTTCTACTTTGACACAGAACCTCAACTCAGCAGCAACTGTTGGAGTAGTCTAAAACAGCAGAAATTTGTTCGGTCACAGGTTAGGGGGTCAGAAGTCCAAAATGAAGATGTTGGCTGGGACATGCTTCTTTCAGAGATGTTGGGAGCTGGGGTTGGTTCTCCCCTTGTCTTCTTTCAACTTCTAGTGACTGCTGGCATTCCTGGGCTAGTGGTTGTAACATTCCATCCCTGACTTTGTGGCTTATATTGCTTTCTCCTGTGTGTCTCAAAAATCTCCATCTGCCTCCCTTTTGTATGGATACTGTTTATTGAGCTTAGAGGCCACTGGACAAATACAGAATAATCTCCCCATTCCATGTACCTTAATCACGTCTATAGTCTTTATTTGCTGCTTAGGATAAAAAAATCTTAGGTTAAAATCATTTGCCATGGGACCAGTCTGACTCATAACATCCCTGTAGGAATGAGTAGACTTGCCCTATTGTATTTTGAAGATCATATATCTTTCTCCCATGGTACAGCTTGAACCATGGTACAGGTTTGAACTGCCAACGTTTTGGTTAGAAGCCAAGTTTTTAACCACTGTGCCTATGTTAGCAGGGCCCTTTCCAGAGATTGGGATGTTGCTCTGAGGACGGTGCAGGAACGAGCAGTGTTTTGTTCTGAGGACTAATGGCATCCAACATCAGCATCTTTTAGCAGTCAGGATTGTGTATGCCACATGCAGTTCCCTTGAATACACTTGACTGCGTGTACTGCTCCTGAGCAGAACATGAGGCGTATGTCCCAAAACTAAGCACGCTTTGCTGAAGGCATTGGTCCAGCTGGCCTAGCACAATTGTAGGCAGAGTTGACTTCATCATCCATCCTGAATATTTGGGATTGATGGTTTTGTAAGTCTTGGAGGCCACCACCGTGTTGGGCTAGCCAGGGAGACCAAACAAGTTTAAAAATGCAGGTCAGCATGGTCTGGAAAACAAACAGCTGTTGTTTTTTGAGTCAACCCAATTGAGTGGATGGAATCCCATCTTCAAGGGTGATGTGCATGTTCTTCTTGACTACTTAACCCCTCAGCAGTCTCACCTCAGCATCGTCTGGCTCTCTTACTCATTTCTTTCCTTTCTCCTGATCTTTAAAAAGAGCTACTTGCTATGAAACAGGACCTTTTAGGATTCCCCTCCTCTCCTCTTCTTTCCTACCAAGCTGTCTGCATGTGGCCTAGAATTTCCTTTCCAGCGGGTGCAATTGCTAATCCGTTCCAGTTGCATAAGAATTCAGAAACAATGAGACCATTTAAAAGCCCACAGGCGTCCTTCCAGAAAATGCTCAAAAGTGTTTACCCTGGAAAGGGTGCGAGGTTATACATCCATTCTTTGGGTAATTCGCCTGTATTTCCTGCGTTCTTCAAGGAGAGGTGGGCTCTGTCCTGTGGGGTGCGGTGGTGGTGCTGAACAAATGAACAAAGGTGGAGAAGGTGCAGAACAAAATTGCACCTTGAGGAGGCTTGTAGGTGAGGCGTTGTCATTCTCAAGCTCGAGGATTTGAGAAGAACAGTCTCTGGCCTGGCACAATGAGAGTGTTTTTTAGCAATTAGCTGTGGGTGGGTCTGCCTCTGAGATGATTACAAAAGGACCTTTTTATGGGATGGCCAGTTCATCCCTCACCCCCATTGCCTTGTAAAAGAAACCACTGTTGATCCCTTTGCTTTCCCTAGAGTGGCTTGAGCTACAATGTGCCCCTCCTTTGTTTCCCTTTTAAAATCAATTAAATGTGATTGACTGGGTCAATAATTTCTAATCTGGAGGTCAGAGCTATATTACCTACATAAAATAGACCAGTCACTGCCCCAAATGCCCCATAGGAAGTACTTCTGAACCTGGACAAGGAACAACTCCCTCCCCCTGACCTACTTTACAATTGGGAAAAGGCACGGTGGTTCCAACAACATTCTGCCAATACGCCCTTAAAACTTCTGAGCCAGAAAGACCTGAGAGTGAGAAATTAAAGGGGTATTCAGTGAGCTCCCATCTCCCCTAGGAATCAGTCTCCATAGAGATGAAGGTCGAATTTATCATCCTTGTTCCATCAGTATCCCTCTCCCCAGCAAAGTCCTCCCATACCGTAATCACTACGATGCATATTGTAGGCATTATAGTAAGGCCTGAGAAACAGAATGTCCTGATGTATGTTCTGTCCGTGCAGAGAGCCTGAGGACACCAACGTTACACCAGCAAGAGGTGATGGTACAAATGGATGTAGGCTTTGTATTCATTTGATATGTGTATATACCTCTTGTTGCTATTCTCTTTAAAATAAAACATCAAGAGGAAATACCAAAAGCAATAGGAGGAAGGAATGAGAAGATCAAAGAACATGTGAAGGAGAGATGGTCCAGCCACCCCTCCCCACAATCTGGTACACCAGAGAGGCCACCCCGTTGTTTCTCATCTGTCTTTAATGCGAACACTTAGCTCCCTGTGTTGGTTTTTTTCACTGAGCCACGGGTCCATGACATCTTGAGGCCGTCTGCACTTTATTTTCTCCTGCATAGCCACACAGTGAGACAGAAACAGGGATGTACAATATCTGGGCAACAAGCTAGATTCTAGGGCCCCATAAGCAAAGGGGTGGTGTGGTGTGGTGTGGTGTGGTGTGTGTGCGTGTGTGCGCTTGCTTGCTTGTATCAGACAGACACTGAGAATGGACATGGATGGAATCAGACATACAGGAAGAGAGACCTGGCAAGTCTGTCTCTGCATGTTCTTCCAACAATGGAAGCATCATTTGATTGGACACAGAACTTTAAATCCCAAATGATGTCCCCTCAGAGCTTCTAAGCCATTGGCCTCTCTGCACACATTCAACGTAGCCAATAACTTGCCTGCTGTCACTTGGTTAATTTCCCCTAGGTCGCCCCTTTCCGCTCGAAGCATCTGTTGAGGGAGTTTGTCATTTTTCTTCAGAAGCTCTGTTCTCACTTGCATCACAGGCGTGGTTAGGGGCATGGACCTTTGCTCCCTCGTTTATTCAACCGCCATTGAGTGTGGCTTGTCCCGCTCGGTGTGCTCCTGCAGCTGTTTTCATCACCGCCAACCCTCCTGCCTCTCATGTCTCCTCTAAGAGAAGTTCTTCTATTACGAGATGGTCAAATCTTTGCGCTGCATTTTACAGGTGTCTAAACATTTTGTTTGTGCTTTTCGTATTTCTTTTTCCTGTTGCATGCAGTGATAATTCCTTGAATCAACTCTCCATCTGTAGTGTATTATTTCTCCACCTACCTACTATGCATTATTATATTTTAGCAACTTAATTGCCCCCCCTATAGCCTGTAGTTGATTATATTTTAGGAACAGAATGTACTCTGCCCGCTATCTGAGGGTATCAGTTATACTTAGGCCAAAGTCCTATCCTGTTTGTTCTGTTAACTCTTTCCTTGGGCCTGACTTAGTCGGTTTATTGAGCTTGGTCTTTCCATGCCCGTGGCTATGCTTAACTAGTCGGTTCCTCTTGGTTGTGTGTGTGGTTTTTCATTGAAGATGCCCTGCTTTAGAGGACCTCGTCGTACAGCATGCTAAGAAGGTTGGGTCAAAGGAGAAGCAAGAGTTCCTGGGTGCAGAATTCCCCTGAGCAATGCTCAGCCCTTCTTAAATGTCATGTCACTGCCCCTGCTAGATGATAGACATTCTGCGGTTCCTGGCCTCCTCTACGAGAGGGCCAGGGACAGTAAAGCCCATTCTTCCTACTCACAGTTGTTTCTGCAACCCATCACTGTGGACTTCTGCTCCTGCAGCAGCCTTCAGCACTTGGTGGCCCGAGAACTGACTGTTGCAGCAGGTCTCTCGAATCTATTAGTTTTGTAGATACAGCTTTGGATCTGTGGTTTCTTTAATCTGATCCCAGCAAATTGTTATTAAAAACAAAAGTACGCACATACACACACAACAACAATATCCAAACCAACTCATAGCTCTGGGGTCTGTTCTGAGTCACAGTGACCCTATAGTGCAGGGTAGCACTGCTATTGTGGGGTTCCAAGACTCACTCTTTACAGGAGGAGTAGAAAGCCTCCTCTTCCTCCCAAGAAGCTGCTGGTAGTCTTGTACCAATAAGGACCTTGTGGTCACAGTTCAGTGTGCACCCTCCGTGTCACCAAGGCTCCCTGCACAAACAGTAGGCTCATTGTTGAATGGAATTTGGAGAGGGAAGGGAAGCTTCCCAAAGGATCACCTCTTGTATTTCTTCATATTATGTCTCCAGGTTTAGGAAGGAAAAGAATAGTGTGAGTAAGTGAAGGGGAGAAGAAAAAAGATGGCAATGTATAGGTTTACTTTCAAGCATTTGAGGAAAAATGTCCACAGACACATACGAAAATACAAAAGTAATTAACCGTTGACTGCACTTGTTGAGTTTGTTTACTAACGAGATTTTCTTTTTGTCATTTCAGGTCTTGAATATAATCATGGCCAAACCTTATGAGTTTAACTGGCAAAAGGAGGTTCCTTCCTTTTTGCAAGAAGGAGCAGTGTTTGACAGATATGAAGAGGTAAAGAGAAGCCATTAATCATTTTTTCTTAAAACATTCAAGTAGTTACTGTTTATTTTTATAAGATCATTTTATTGGGGGCTCTTAAACAGCTCTTATAACACTCCAAACATCAATTGTATCAAGCATATTTGTACATATGTTGCCATCATTATTTTCTAAACATTTACTTTCAATCAAATAATTGTTTAACTTTATTGCAGCATTGAGTAAATGGTCTTCAGCATGAGTAAGGATATCTGTGCATTTCAGATGTATTAAGTTGGAATAGTTGGAAAGGGACATGTTAGGAGCTATAATAATGATATATAATTTTTTAATCATTTTATTAGGGGCTCATACAACTCTTGTCACAGTCCATACATACATCACTTGTGTAAAGCACATTTGTACATTCATTGCCCTTATCATTCTCAAAACATTTGCTCTCCACTTAAGCCCCTGGCATCAGCTCCTCTTTTTTTCCCCTCCCTCCCCGCTCCCTCCCCACCCCACCCCCATGAACCCTTGATAATTTAGAAATTATTATTTTGTCATATCTTGCCCTGTCCGATGTCTCCCTTCACCCACTTTTCTGTTATCCGTCCCCCAGGAATGATACATAATTTATTGAGTACTCACCACGTGTGAGATGCAAGAGTCCTGGTATTATTTAGAGCTTACTGTGTGCCAGATAACCTTCCAAGCATTTTATGTATATTGTTTTTAATTCCTCGCCACAGCCTTATAAAGTAGTTACTATTGTTATCCTTATTTTACTGATGGGTTTCCTATAGTCATATATATATATGTTGTTTTTAATGAGTGCTTCTGGCAAGCTTTCCACATAAAACTTTCTTTTCCAAGTGATTAGTATTAGATTCGTGCCAGTCATTTACTTTGTATATGCCAGTTTGATCAATGCCTCACTTGCCTATGCCTCTATCTGTTGATTGTGCCCTTGCAAGTGGCAAGGGGTTGGGTCTGCCCTTCTGTGGAGAAGGGCTGGGTAGGCGTGTGGAAGCCTCATCTGTACTGTCAGTGCATCGTTCTCCTTTAAACATCCCTGAATTGGTGAGGATTTGGGGGGAACATGGGATGAAATTACTGTTGCCTCTAAGGCATAGGTTCCCCAACTTCTTTGGCTTACCACCACTGCCTCTTCAGGGGAAAAAAATTAACTCAAGAGTTCCCTTGGCAATTAAAAACTTTTTTAAAAAGTTTCCTTGGTATATAATCCATATATCATACAGTTTGATAGTTCGATCATACTCAGAAGGTACAATCATCCCCATAGTCAATTCTGTAGAATATTATCTTGCCCTCCACCCTAGTTAACCCTTTGTACTCTTGCCTCTTGCTTTCCCTTCCTTTTCTTCCCCGCCATCCCTAATAACCATCAAAGTCTGTTTCTTTTGCTATGAACCCTTAATTTGGTTTTGTAAAATTTTACAGCAGTGGTGTCATGCAGTATTTGCCCTTTTCTGGTTGAGTAACTTCCCTCAGCGTATTGCCCTCCAGATCCAGCTGTGGCATGAGGGCTTTCACAGTCATTATTGTTCTTTAGTGGTGTGTAGTCTTCCATTGTGTACACCAAAGCGGAGATTTAGATGGTTCCCACTCTCCTGCTATTGGGAGTAGTGCTCTAATGAACACGGAGTGCATGCTACAGCTCTTATTTCAGTAGATCTTCTATGTTGACCAAAGAGACTGCCGAGTCATATGGTAAAACTTCTTTAATTTTCAATTCCATTGTTGACAGATCTTTTGAAGTCTTCCTTTATCTGAAAAGATTTGCAGTTTTCTAATAGGTTCTCTGTGTCAAAATCCACATGATGGCGTTTAGTCTGGTTGTTGGTTAAGGTAGTTTTTGAGGTTCTGGAAACCTATGAGACAATGACTGGGTGACTTCTAATAATTTAGGGAATGTCATTTTAAAGAGATTAAATGTAGCTGCAGGATTACTACCTATCCTCTAGGAAAAGATCCGTTGTGAAGCATTGCTCAGCTGCTAACAACAGAAAGATGTTGGTTCAAACCTACCTGCTGCTCCATGAGGGAAAACTGACCGTCGGCTTCCATAGAGATGACTCTCTATTCAAGGGTCAGGATGAGTTAGGAGCCACTTAATAGCATGTGTTTTGTTTTGTTTTACATGTGGGTAAGTCCGAAAATAAAACCAGAAAATCATAGAAACCTTTATTAGACAAAAAAGTGACCCATGATAGGTATATATACATGTGAGGGCAGTGATTATATCTTTCTGACCATTCTCCAAAACCATTTTGTACTCTTCCATTTGCACTATGTCAAAGGGACTTAAATCATATTCCTTTTGGTGTTCTTTGAATTTGGTGACATAAGAAGAAGTCTGAAGAGACAGGATCAGGGTTGTAGTGGTAGCTGACGTAAGCATCCCAACAGACTTTTCATAGGACAGCCTTTGCCATTCTCAGAGAATACATAGGGACGTTGTCATGATGGGAAATGATTATGCTGTACACATTTTTTCTGATCTTTTTCTCAACAATACAGTTTTCTGAAAACTTTTTCCTGTTAAGCTCCCATGATTTTGCTGTGTCCTTTGGGAAAATCTGTCAGGATGAACCCTTGGGAAGCCTCCCCCAAAAGTCCCCATAATGTTCTGAGCTAATTTCTCTGCCTTGGGTTTAACTAGCCCCCCAGATCCCCTCGGGAGCCACTGTTTTGATTGGACCTTGTGTTTCGAAGGCACGCTGCTGAGACCAAGACACATGTCCTTCTGAGAGCACTGGTCTGCCGCGGTCCTGAGTGCAGACACATGTTGAAGCACATTTTGTTTGGAATAGAGTTAGTTCTGTATGAACTGGACCGTTTTCATTTCTCAGATTATTTTTCTTTGGTGATTAGTCATCATGGTCATTTAGAAATCACTGATTTCCTATGCTTCTTTGTTGTTGTTGTTATAAGAAGTTTTGTTTTGTTTTTATCAAAAGTTTTCTATTGTCATTTGGGTGAAGATTTACAGAGAAAATTAGTTTTTGATCCAATAATCCATGTGCTTTTTGTTTCATTTCCTATGCTTCTAGGTGAA